CGCTGTCGCACGTGCGCAACATGTTCACGGGTGTGACAAAGGGCTTCCGCTTCAAGATCCGCTTCGCCTACGCGCACTTTCCCATCTCCGTCTCCGTGGAGGATCAGCTTGTGGAGATCCGCAACTTCCTTGGGGAGAAGCGCGTTCGCCGGCAGCTCGTCGCCGATGGCGTCAAGGTCTACCGCACGGACCCCTCCGTCGTGAAGGACGAACTCGTGCTGGAGGGCAACGACCTGGAGGAGGTCTCGCGCGAGGCCGCCGTGATGCACCAGCTCTGCCTGGTGAAAAAGAAGGATATCCGTAAGTTCCTGGACGGCATCTACGTGCAGACCAAGACCCACGTCGAGGTGGATGAGTAGGATCCCTTTTGGCCAGACTTTTTTTTCTTTTGTTTTCTCACCAAGGTGTTGTCCAACTTCCGGGTTTCTTCTGTTTGTTGGTTTCCGTTGTATTTCGCCGCGATGCGCTCTTTTTTTTTTGCCGCGTGTTGCCTCCTGTCGTGGCGGACAAAACTGCCAAATACTTTTTTTTCTTTTTTCCCACCTTTTTTTTGTTTCTCTGCAACGATGATTATGGCAATTCATTTCATGTGCGCCACGCATAGGGTGCCTCTGCTCCTGGTGGTGGTGGTGGTGGTGGTGCTGGTGCGTTGCGGGGGTGGCCGGGTGTTACTTGTCGCGCTCGCACAATCCTTTACGCGTTGTGCGAGTGGGTGAGTGGGTTTGTATCAAGGCGCCTTTTCCTTTATATCTGCCGACGTTATGTCTGATGGAGGCCTGTGACAGGAGCCCGCAGCATCACGAGAAATGGGAAGGGAACGACCCACTATTCCAAAGCACTCCATACGATGGCGTGGGGGCGGCCCAAAGTATGCCCTTTGTCAAGCGAGCGCGAGAGATGTGGAACTCCTATCGTCTTGGTCTTTTCAAAAAGAGCCAAGTGCAGACAGGGACATATCCACTTCCACCTGCGCGCCTGTGCACCGTGCACTATTCGAGCCTTGTCTTTATGGGGCAGGATCGGCCTCTGGAGGTGGCTGCGATTGTAACGGACAGTTGCCTTTTTATAGCGAGGAAAGGAGACATTGGGCGCGTGGATGTGATGCTGCCACTGGATACAGTGGACTACGTCGTGGAACAGAGAAGGGAGTTTAGGGGAAGCACAACTGTGCTTGCGTACGTTAACCTTGTTGTCAAACCTGCTCCGGGGAAGAATCTAAATGTGTATAATCTTATATTTGGTGGCGCGGAGGCAAACATATTTATCGAGGTTTTTTCAAGAGTTTTCGAGGATGCAACGGCCCGTCTTCTACCCATGGTGTGTGACCCACGTGAAACGGCCGAGAGGTGTAATCCACTCAGTACCTATCACGTGCATCTCCGTGCTGAGGAAGAAATGCGGGGGCGCACGCTTTTGGCGCTCCTGAAATACCGGATGATGCCTTTTATAAGCACACTCTCTAATGTCTCCCTTTTGCTGCCCGAAAATGACCGTCAGTGGCGGTTTATTGCACGCATGTTGTTATCGGTTTGCGAGCGCGTGGGTGTCGTGCGTGAGCTACTAAAGTGCTCTTTGGCATTTGAGATCAATCGCGCGCGAGATCCACTGCGTAACTGCGGCATCGTCCATGCCTCTTTTCGGCGCATGGGTGGCTTCCTCCGAACCGAGTCCGTTGCGGATAAAATCATTGCGTCGTTTACAGCCAAATCCGCAGCGAGTTATGCCTGCTCCACAGTTGGGGCGGCGCTGCGGCCCCTCTTAGAGACGCGTCAGGTTGACCTTTTTGACGCCAATGAGACTGTGAGTTGGTCAGCGCACGTGTTTGCGCCACTGCTGCAGGCACCACACGGAACTTTTCCCGTTGAGGCGTCTGCCTTGGCACACATAATACAGGAGTTGGAAGGGGCTTCGAGGAAGAAGTCGCGGTGCTTCATTGGGGATCTGTTTTTTTCGCAGTTCGTGGCCCGAGGCGTGAGTGACCCGGGTTTTTTGGGCATCGCAGACAGCAATTTCTCACTGATGCGGCGAAAGAATTTAAATCGCCTCGTGCGTGTCGCGGAGTGTGCGTTTAACGGCTCGGGGCAGTATCCCGGTGTGGCGCACATGTTTGCCCCACGCTCGTTGGTGGACAACGACGAGAATGGCATTCGTATGTTGTTGCGTGATGCGGAAGTTCGGTTGTTTCTGGAGCGTACTGCTCCCACCGCGGCCCGGTGCGTTGACGGGCTGCTGGCCACGCCCGAGGTTTGGTGCTACGGAGAAAAACCGAAGAGCGTCTGTGACGATTCATTGCTGCTGCTAGAGAAACGAATGGAGCTTGCGGCGCTCAACGACACACTCGGGAAGTACGCGAGTCTCCTTTTGGCGGACACCACCGAAGATTTCTGGGACCTCATGGAGGAGGGGGATCAACATGGCGGTTGCCCTGTGCCGCTGAGGGGTTCCGTTGCTTCTGGCGCGATCCTCGCCTCGGAGGACTTCGGCTCCGCGGAGGTGGAGCGGCTGCGAAAGGCAAATGCCCAGTTGAGGGTGCAACTGCATAAACTTCAGACTCGGGTGTGGTGGGGATTGCCGCAAACATGAAACAGAGACCTGACAGGCGTTACACCGCCATAACCACTCATCCTTTGCAGAATGCATTCTGCAAAGGATGAGTGGTTATGTGGCCCAGATGGGTGCAGGAAGAGACGTTGCTTCCGCTGAACACGCTTGGCCGCCTTTATTGCCGTTCCCCCTTTTTTTTTTGGTGCTCTTGTTTGCGCACCCCTTCCCCTTCTCCCTTCTCTGCCTTATAACGCCTCCTCGACGGCGAAGCGTACGCAGGGAGTTTGGCGTGAAGGAAAGGGCGGGACCGTGTAGCGGGAAGGGCGGGTTGCACGCATGCGTGCATCGCGGGGGTGTCGCATGTCCATGTGGGACAACCCCGCTTTTGAGCACAACCCCCTGACGCGCTACTGGAAGCGAATGATGAGGCAAACGGGCGAGACACTCACTTCTCAGAGCATTCCACGCCACATCCACGGCTACCTTGAGGCGTCTTGCCCCCGGACCGAAGGCCTGGTGCGGTGGTTCCCATACAAGCGAGAAATAACGGTTGACGGACGCTACGTTCCGACCATCAGTGACGCCATTTATACGTACTACTTTCCTCGTGAACTGAATGATGATGAGCGTGTCAAGTACGTTTCCATCAAAACCGGCCGCTCCGAGTTGGAGGTGGCTGAGGAACTATTTCTCATGCGCAAGATGAAATTGTTTGTTGCCCAGTTACTGCGTAACAAGCTGCGAAATAGGCCTTTGCGTATGCCCGAGGGGGTGGATTACTCTGGTATAGAGCGACGTTACACGCTCGGTATCGCAAAGGTGGCGCAGGCAATGGGGATGAGCATGTACAGCACACAATCGTATGATCCCGCTATTGTGTACTCCCCTTATTGCGATTTTGGGGACTGTATTGACTGCATTTGTACAAAGCAGCTACGCACGGCGACACAGTACTTGCTGTGTGAGGTGGCTGTACACCGTGGCATCGCACGTAGTCGCCTGACTGACGTCACGGGCGAACCCAAAGAGCCCCTATCGCACCTTGAGCCCTGTTTATTCGAGTTTCTCAAGCTACGTTTGGCCATCCTGGCGTTGGTGGCAAAACAAGAGCACTACGTGGTGGACCACCAGTTCGATGGGGGCCATCGCTACGGCGGCTGCCTCATTCACCTCTTTCCCTCACCACTCGACCCCGAACTCATTGACCACGAGGTGCAGCACATCGAGCTGGACCTTGACCTCGCGCAGAGGTGGATGAAGCACTACTACGATCACCATGTGGCACCCAGACGATCGGGTTCCTCTTAGGGGTCAGGTTTCTCCCTTCTACCGCCTACTAGTGTGTCAAGCATATACATGCATGTTTTCATCCCTCCGTTTGCTTGTGTTCTTTTTTTAGTTCTCCGCCCACTGAATGATATTCTGCGTCTCTCTCTATATACACATGTATGGCTAACTCCTCATGATTTTCTTGCCTTTTTTTTTTCATTTTTCTAATTTTGGATTATTTTATTACCACTGCTATGACTATTAACATTGTCCGTTTCGCTCAACTGTGTGTAGCTGGACTGCTGCGGTGTGTGAAGGAGCGACGAAACAAGTGCCAGGTTAAGTGCGTTAACGCAAGGGTTGAGATGTTCGCGCCGCATGCGGATACGTCGTTCCAGCAGTCGCTGCTGTGCCTTTCTCGCGAGAAGCATGAAGAGGAAGTCCGCCGTCGTGCACAACGGATTTTGGAGGAAAAACGTACTATAGCGGAGAAAAAGCAACTTGAGAGGGAACGGGCGGCAAAAGAGGCGAAGCTCGTCGCCATGCAGAGACGAATTACAGGCATTCAACAAGCGAACCGGGCAACGGAGTACAGAATGCAGCAAGCCAAAATGCTTCAAGAGGAGAGACTCCAAGCGAGTGAGGATAGGCTGAAGGCCGAACTGCTTAAAATAGACGAGGCCTCCGATCGGCGTGGAATTATATTGGAGTCCTGTCGGTTTCGCACGGCGCAGCATCTGTTTTTGAATTCTCAACGAGCCCAATTCAATCGTTCTGCCATTGATACTGAGGTGCAGGCGAGACTGCGTCGACAGAAGGAGCGTGAAAATGCCCGCCAAAAGGCCGTCTTGGAGGAGAAGCTTACGAGAGAGATCGAGTTGCAGCGGCGTGGACTTCTTCACGATCAGCGTAGACTGAGTTCCGTCGAGTATCGAATACAACAGGAACTCGTTAACCGCGAAAAGTGGCTTCAACAAGAGCGCGCACATGAGGAACGTCTCTGGCAGCTCAAGCTACAAAGAGGAACAGATGGGTTTGGAAAAACCTGGCATCCTGCACAAAGAGGGCGTGGCGATTCCAGCGCGTTGATTCGGCGCGAATGGAATGCGTCAGATAATGGAGGCGAGGACAACGCGATAAACACGTACCAGCGTCCGGTGACTTCGTAGGGCTTCACATCACGATTGATTTTTCTTGTGCGTGGAAATCGTGCCGTTATGGGCATGTATGTGTATTATTCTTTTTACTTCCTTTAACTTTTTTTTTTGTTGTGTTGGTGTTTTTCGTTTTTTAAAGCTTTGCGCGCTTTTTGGCCCGCATACTGCGTCGTTGGGTGTTGATGCACACTTGCCCCCCGGGGGAAAGGAGGAGTGTCGGTGTGGGCGGCGAAGTGAGAGGCGATGGGTGATGGCATCACTTTTAGCGGAGTAAATTTATGTGTTTATTCATCCTGTTTTGCCTTTGTTTCTGTTCAATTCCCTTTTTAGTGATTACTCTTTTCTACGTGAAGTGTGGCGTGAGACTATTTTCTTCCGTTATTTATTGTAGTCCCTTCTGTTGTTGTTGGGAGAGGCGCGTGTGCCAGCTTTACAACTTGACCCAACTGCCTCCGTTGCCACGGTTATTGTTTTTTTTGTTTTGTTGCTTTTGTTTCTGCTGTTTTTTTTCTTTTCTCTTGAAGGTTTGTGGTTTGTGTGCTCTCAATATGGCGGTGGCTCCTGCCGGCAGCGGGCCGCACGCAGAGTCCATCCTCTGTTCCCTGAGCCCGGAGGAGGTGGATATGCTGCGCGACGCATTTATTTACCTGGACCGCGACAATGATGGCCACGTAAACAAGGAGGACTTGCTGGGAATGGTGCGCCGGTGCGTCGGTGATGAGCGGTTTTTCCCGCTGAAGGAGTATCTGGTGCCACTCTTTGAGGTGGCCGACAAGGACAAGGACAACAGACTGAGTCTCACGGAGTTTTTGCTTTCGTTCGCGGATGGGCCAGGGGTGGTTCCCGCGGAGGTCATCAGCAGCTGCGTGTCCTCCATCCGTGTGCGTCTCACGGATGAAGAAATTGAGACGCTACAGGAGACGTTCCGCCGCATTGACACAAAGGAAGACGGCTTTATTGACAAGGAGGAGCTCACCATCGCGCTCAAGGAAAATCTCAAGTACCGTTTTCCAGACCTGCGTGACAACAATTTCAACGACATTGTGGCGGTTATTATGGCCAGCGCCGACACCGATCGTGATGGCCGTTTGTGCCTCTCTGAGTTCATTCGCTCCTTTCAAGAAGACCAGGGCGTCCTACCGGCGGCTTTTCTGGATGCCGGGGCGCGCAGGTTGGTACAGAAACTTACACCTGCCGAGATTGACGTTCTCACCGAGGCCTTTGCCGTGCTGGATAGGGACCATGACGGCTACGTGAAGGCGACCGACATCTACGATGCACTGTGGGAAACGCTTTTTGACGGCACACAGGATAAGAACCAGATCAGTGAGCTTTGCGACCTAATCATGGTTACCGCCGACCGCGGAAACCGGGGGATGTTGACTTTGGCTGACTTTGTGCGTGGATTTGTTCGGAATATTGCCCTGAGCCAGCTTCCTGTTGCGGCAGCGCAAGAGAAGATGCAGCTTGCCTGCGATAAACTGCAGGAAATGCTTCAAAGTGGTGAGCTGGAGCGGCTTTCAGTGGTGCCTGACGACGGTGACGAGAACGCGACCTGCGTGAACCCGAGCAACCTGGTCAGCGTCCTCAGCGATGTCTTTCGGGATGTCTTCCCCCTCTTGGAGGAGGAGGTGCTTTCCGCCGTCATTGGCGCCGTTGTGGTGGCTGCCGACAACGAAAGCGACAAGAAGATTTCATTGGAGAGCTTCATCCACTGCTTTGCCGAAGGACCACGCATCCTTTCCATCGATTCCTCCTCCTCGCCAACGTCCAAAAGCTTGACCGATGATGAGCTTCTTGTTGTTTCACAGGTGCTCCAGGAGTTGGGCAAGGAGGCTAATAGTGACGGGTGTGTGCAGGAGCCAGAGGTGCTGGAGGCCCTCCGAAACGTCTTTCGCGGGGATACAAAGCAGGCAGATCGCGTTCTTCAATACGTGCGTGATAACATATTTCGACAGAACTCAACCAGCTCGTTGATGGTTGAGACCTCTGTGGCTGACGTAGCGAGCGACAATGATGGCGCTGCGGACCCTCGTCTAAGGCCGGCGCCGGCGCCACAGGAGGCAAATGTGGAGACAGCGAACCCCGCGCCAAGGTCCGAGGCGGATGCGGCACACGAGTTTGCACCAAAGAGCAATAATAAGGCCACCGCGATTGTTGTCGCCCGCCCGAGCGCAAAGATGCGGGAGTTGTGCTCCTTTGGTACGAATGCCACGGTGTCAGATGTACTGATGAGGCAACACGCCAGACGCTACTTGGACAGCGTCTACGACACCGCCGATAACGCCGTCTTTGAGGATGAGTTGCGGGCGGAGTTCAGGAAGTACGCCGACGGAAACAAAGATTATATTGACCGTGACAGGTTTATCAAGGCCTATATGTCCATGGAGCATTATGGCTTGACCCCAACGGAGAATGAAGTCAACCGGCTTATATCTCGCTACTGTGCCGGGAGCAAGGTGACCTATGACGAATTCTGCATCATCATGCTGCGACGTGCCCGTATGTAGCGATCCGGCAAGGATGGAGTTTTTCCAGGCCTAATAGTACCTTGCAAAACCGTGAGTTTTTAAACTTTTGTTTTCGCTCACGTGTCGTTGGCGTGTGTTGTTATTAACTTTTGCGGATATACCAAAAGTTTCTTCTCTTTTATACTATCAAGGGCGCTGGGTGATGGGCCAAAGGAACCAGCTAGGCGCAAACGCGTGGAAGTGTGTGTGTTTTATTATATATATATATATCTGGATGTAAGTCTTGGGTTTTGCTTTTGTCTCGTTCTTCTCCTACTCCTTTTTAGTACTGCTTGCCATTGGCGTCAATCCACTTACTTCAATATGCACGCGGCGTTTATGGATTTATATTTATATATATATATATATGTATGTTTTATATAACACATATTATATATATATATATATTATTTCTATGTATATATTTGTCAACCTACATGTAGGTATGGATAGAGAGCCACGCGTGTCGTGTAGTGGCTTTGTTGTTTAATGAAGAGAAGTCTGCGTCTTCCTGCGAAGTTGCCGCTTTCGTCGTCTTGGAGCCCCTTCTCAAGACGCTGCAGATTGGGTCTCATTTTTTTTATTTTTCTTTTTTTTTCCTTTGCAATTGTTATTTCAAATCCCTCTTGTAGGCCTACATTTGTTGGACAAAAGTGCTGCTGCGCTTCTGCGATAGTTCGTTTGTACGTTGTCTCTACTCACTGGACCGAGCCGATCCCTCCAGATGCTGCAGCACTCAAAGATTGAAATGATATTCAAGTCGCTGCGCGACATCGTTGTGATTGGCGACAACGACATGGTCGTCACCGACATGAATCGTCCTGCGTGCGACTTTTTCGGCTGGGGCGTCGACGAGGTGCAGGGCAAAAGCATCACCTTCCTCATCCCCAAGTACCCGCTGGACCTCGAGGACGGCACGGTGACGCTCGTGGCGAAGCTGAAAAACGCCGTCGAGATCCCAGTCGTCGTGCAGTCGACGCGGGACCCGCACGCCAGCATGGTGGGGTGGACCATCCTCCCCATCATCCTTCCCCGCGTGTTTGATTTTGCGGTGCACATGAACCTTCGCGCCGCCCTCACCCCAAAGCTCTCCGTGGACGACCTGGACTTTTGCGCCCGCCGCGTGTTTGTCCGCGTGGACTTTAACGTGCCGTTTGACAAGACAACCGACAAGATCCGGGACGACAGCCGCATCCGTGCCGCCGTCCCGACAATACTGAAAATTGTCCGCGACGGTGGCCGTGCTATTGTTGCCTCGCACCTTGGGCGGCCGAAGAAGCCGGACGCTCACTACTCGCTAAGGCGCATCTTGCCCCGTCTTGAAGAGGTGCTTGGCAAGAAGGTGCTCTTCTGCCCCACTCTGGAGGAGGCACCCAACATGGTGAAGGGCATGAAAGACGGCGACGTCATGCTTTTGGAGAATCTCCGTTTCTTTCCAGGCGAGGACGCGCCGCGGACTTCGTCGCGGAACCGTATGGCACTGCAGCTAGCAGCCTTTAGCGACATTTACGTTTGTGATGCGTTTGGTACGGTGCATCGAATGACCGCAAGCATGACGGGTCTGCCTCGCATTTTAGGGGCTGGCGTGACCGGCTACTTGATCGACCGTGAGATCAGGGCGATTAGCATGGTGATGCGCAGGCCCACGCTTCCGGTGCTGTGCATCGTGGGTGGTGCGAAGGTGTCTGACAAGATCATTGTGCTCTCGAGCATCATGAATTTCGCCCAAACAATTATCATCGGTGGCGCCATGGCGTACACGTTTCTTGAGGCGCAGGGGCATTCATGTGGTGCCTCCAAGGTGGAACGCAGTATGCGAGAGCGCGGACGGGACTTGGACCTCCACGCCGTCGCACGCGAGTTACTGGACCGTGCACGAGCAAAAAAGGTGCAAATTATTCTTCCTGTAGATCATAACTGCGCCAAGTCGTTTAGCAACGAAGAGCCTTTTACGACGCCCGGGGCGGATGTACCAAACGATTACATGGCTTTGGATTTTGGACCAAAGACGAATGAGATTTGCTCCAAGGCTGTGGCCAAGGCCCGAACGCTCCTTTGGAACGGGCCTGTTGGCGTCTTTGAGTTCTCGAACTTCGCCACTGGGACAATTTCGTTGGCGGAGGCGATTCAACGTAATAAGCGGCTTGTTTCCATCGTGGGCGGGGGTGAGACGGCGGCGGCGACGAAGCGGTACAAGAGCAGCATCACACACACGAGCACGGGGGGTGGAGCTTTTCTGGAGCTGCTTGAGGGAAAAGCCCTTCCGGGCCTCGTGTGTCTCACGGCGCAGACCGAACCCAAGCTGTAATGCTGTGTGTGTGTGTGCGTGGAGGAAAGTGTATCACGCAACGACAACGAAAAGAGATAGCATAGTATAAATTGCGGCGTGGTTTTTGGAGGGGATTGAAGGGGGGAGGGGGACGAAGAAGAAAAACAAGCATTTCTTTTATTGATCGGGCAGGTCGGGGGGGAATTGGCAGGAATGGAGAATCAATGAAAAGCAGGAAGAAGCAAAGAAGCCAAAAGCACAAAAAAGAAAAAAAACAACACACACACACAGGAAGGACACCGTGAGCTAAGAGAGGACGAAGTCATCAGGGAAAACAACGGGTGAGAGGATTCACAGGCGGTGCCCCAAGGCGTTGCCTGGTGGTGTCTATCCTGTCTACGGCTTAATTAAGGCCCCGTACTTTTTTTTTTCTTGTTGTTTCTGTGTCTGTGTTTTCATTGCTTCTTTTTCTGCTTCCTCGCTCTCACACGCGAGGGATGGCTGGGGAGGCTCCCGTTTGCCGCCATGCCGCTGTCTTCACTGCCTCTCTATTACTTTTACCCTCTCCCTTTCCCTTTGCCTTCTTTGCTTGCCTTTATTTGTTCTGCACGCGTCCTTGTGCGTCCGCAGTAGCTAAACTAATAAGAGGAAAGTCCGTAGGAGGAGAGACGGTGGGGAGGAGCAGAAAGGAAGGGTGAATAAAACTAAGGAAACACACGGGAGGAAACAGAGGAGCATAAGAGTAACGAGAAAGATCTAAAAACAACGAAAACAACAAAAATAAGCGACCGGAACGAAAAGCAAGGAAAAGGATCATGCTCTTGTTAGATCCAAATGATCCAGCACTGGCACAGCGCTTGATCCAGCTTGCACAGGACGCCACTTCCATGGATGGTGCTAACAGAGAGAAGGCCGAGCGTGAAATCAAGGAGTTTCAGAACCGTGTCGACGAGCAGACCGGGTTCGTCCTGTTGCTCCTAAATCTGGCGGTCACAGCTGGGCCCGCAGCTTCCTTTTGTTCTATTGTCTTTAAAAACACAGTCAAGATGTGCTGGAACGCCGCAACCGCAGAGCATTGCATCACCGAGGGTGATAAGAGGATTGTTCGTGACACCATTACAGGGGTTATGCTTCGGGCTGCTCCCAACGTTCAGCGAAACCTCGCCGAGGCCACCACTATGATAGCGGAGGTTGACTTTCCAAATGAGTGGCCAAATGCCCTGGATCGCATTATCCAAGTTTTGAGGTCGGAAAAGGATATGACCATGCACTGTGCTGCATTATCCACGGCCCATGGTATACTTGGGCGATATCGCAGCCAAGGCGATCTTTCTGAAGCCCTTGTGAGTGACTTACGGATCATCTACACATCCTTTACCGCCCCATTGCTGTTGTCGATGGAGTTTCTCCTGGCTGAGATGGAAAAGGGCGGCGCGGGCGCCAAGGCTGCATCTCACGGCTTGACGTTGGCCGTGGAGTGTCTGCGCGACCTAACCACCCTCGACCTTGGTGACGAGTTTATTTGGAGCATGGAAAAGTTTGTAAGTGTTCTTCTACGCTGTCTCCAGTTCAATAGGCCCGACGTTGATGAGGCAACTTTGATCGAGCTGAAGTCTGTGGTGATGGAGTGTGTGACGCACTTTTTGCTGCAGTTTTCGGAGGATTTTGAGAAGTACGCAAGCGAGTTTCTCAAGGTCGTCTGGGACACCATTGCTTCCCCGCTGAGTCGCGAGCAAAGCATGGACGACATCGTCATTCAGGGGATGAACCTTCTCTCAGCCGCCTGTCGAGGGTCTATGCGGGAGGTCTTCAACAGCAGCGAAATCCTCGAAAACCTCGTGGTTCATGTCGTCCTACCAAATCTTGCTCTACAGCCGGATGATATTGAACTCTATGCAACCGAGCCGTACAGTTACATCCAGCGGGATATTGAGGGTAGTGATTTTCACACACGCAGACGAGAGGCAGGGGAGCTGGTGCGTTCTCTGATGCTGGCTTTCCCTGACATGTCTGGGCCGCTTTTGTCCGCCCAGCTGCAGCAGCTCATGTCCGTAGCCGCAGCAGGCGACTGGAAGGCAAAAGATTTGTCTATTTATTTGTTTTCCTCTCTTTCCCTTGGAGGGCAGTATGCGAACTTTCAGAGGGGCGCCGCCCAAAGGTTGAGCAACCTTGTGCCCTTCGAACAATTCTTGAAGCAGAGCATTCTTCCAGAGCTTTCGAAGGATGTGTCGGAACAATCCCCGTTTATTATAAAGGCCGATTGTATTCGTTTTCTGGCGACATTTCGGACACACATTGAGCCCCAACTACTTCCAGAGATCATAGCACTGCTAACCACGTGGATTGGATGCCAGGATGTGGTGGTTCGCACCTACGCTGCAAATGCCGTTGAACGGATTCTTACGCTTCGACGCTCTGGCCAGCAGGAGAACGTCATCACAGACGCAAACATAGGTGAACGGGTTGCGCCGCTGCTACAGCACCTTTGCATGCGAGTTCAGGAGGACAAGCAGCCAAACGCCTACACAATGCAGTGTCTGATGCGGGTGTGTCAGAGTTGCAGTCGCTGTGTAGCCCCTTTTGTGGGAGACATAATCACTTGTATAGCTCCTGTCGTCCGGGAAAATGCAAAGAACCCGTCAAACCCCCTTTTTAGTCACTGCATGTTTGAGGTGATTTCCAAATGCATTCAAATACGCCCAGAGGATGGACCAGCTATAGAGGCTGCCTTGTGGGAACCTATGATTTTTATTTTGCAGCATGATGTGCTTGAGTACGTGCCGTATACGCTTCAAATCATGGCACAGCTCCTTGATACACGTGGCTCGGGTGCCCCGGAGCCGCCGTCACACTATCAGGCCTTACTGGAGCCTCTCCTAATCCCCGACATGTACCAGCAAAAGGGTAACATACCTGCCGTTGTTCGACTTTTGGTGGCTTTTATAGAGCACTACCCACGCTATGTGCACGACAAAGGATTCACAGAAAAAGTCTTGATTGTCTTTCGATCTCTGCTGCAGTACAAAAATTACGACCACGAGGGATTGAATGTTCTCACCGCAATTGTAATGGCCTACCCCAAGGAGATCATCTCGCCATATATGGGAAGCATATACCAGGTGTTATTTCAACGTCTTCAAACTTCTCGAACACCAAAGTATGTGCGTATTCTCATCATATTTTTATCGATTGTGGTCATCTGCCATGGCGCTGACGATGTCGTGGCGAAAGTTAACCTCATTCAGAACTCACTTTTCTGGATGCTGCTTCAGCGCGTGTGGCTGCCAAATGTCCAAAAGATTACAGGGACTTTAGAGCGTAAGGTATGTGTGGTGGCGTTGGCCAGCTTGCTTGGTGAATGTGCAGAGTTGCAGAGTAATGCGGAGGCCTGGGCAAGTTGTGTCGTTAGCTGTCTCAAGGTGATTCATGGTGCCGTTGAGAGCGATGACACGACTAGCTTTACCCCCAAAACCCACTCTGTGGGGGACTTGAAACATCACATTGATGATACTGGTTTTACAAATGTCTTTTGCCCCTTGCAGGGTGCAGTGCGGGCCCCCATTGACGTGTGTGCGTCTGTGAAGCAGCCGGACTTGTACTTTCGTGAGCGCATTCATCAGGCGTTGCAGGGTCCTAGCGGGCCCCACCTTAAAAATCTTCTGCAGTCTAGCCCGGAGTTGTTGGCCATGGTGAAGTGAGAGGGGCGTTTCGTTTGGTGTGCAATTGATGACGCAATCGGTTGGATGGAGAGGAGGCCGTAGCTGAACGTCATGATGGTATTTCATACAGATACTGGTGGGTTTTTTTAAAAAGTCATTTCCCCCGTTTTTTTTAAATTCTCTCTTTCTTTTGCCGTCATATATATATCTCTGTGTGTGTGTGTGCGTGTTTTTGTGCTTGGTGCCGTAAGAGGTGAAGAAGATCGTGAAGTTAACGCACCCTCTGTTTTCTGTGAGCGGGTGATCAATAATTTTTAAATCTGCGGAGTGCGGGCGGCTGCGACGTGGATTTGTGGTGCGACCTCTTGAAGGGACTCGATCAGGTGGGTGTTGCACCGCCCGCATTAGTCTGTTCCTTCCTTTCTTTGCCTTCTACGCATGCTTTTCCTGTCCTGTTCTTTTTTTTCCCCCTTCCCTTTCTTCGCGGGCTTTGTCTGCCCCCGTTGTCTGTTCCCATTTGACGTGAGAGATCCGTCTTTCATCAACGACACGCACGCACTCACTCACTCACTCACTCACTCACAGGCCGGAATGAATCAGGCGAGTCGCTCTTCCTCTTCCAACTAAACTACGGCCCTCAATCACTGCTTTCGCACCGCCTCGGCCTACGCGGTGAAGTCGCACACGAAGCGCAAAAGCCCGAAGTGTGGTGTTTGGGGGGCGAAGGGCTCCAGTTGAACATTCTGCGGGGACCGCATTCCCGGGCCGCATACAGTCGCAGCAGCGAAACGCGGCTCGCGCGCCTCCTAGGGTTCCGCGGTGAAGGCGCCCCCAGAAGGCTCTCACCGGGCGAAGGTGGCGCGGCCACTGCAAGGACAGCAGCCGGCGAAGGCAACGTGTCGGTACTCCGGCATTTGGGTTAGGCCTGCGTCTGTGTGTTCGGCAGCGCCGAACACGAGCATGCGTCTCCTCTAGAGATTTCGATGCGAATTCGTTCGTGTAATTTTACAGAGATTGTTTTCTACGACATACCATGCGAGTCTCGTTCACGTTTTCCCTCTTGCGAGGCGTTGGCACGGAGCCCGATGGGTCGTTTGGGAGCTAGCTTCTATCTTGTATTGTTTTTTTTCTATGTTTTATTTTATTTTTCTTCCCTCCACGCATGCATTTGTTTATTTATTTATTTTTTCCTTTGACTGTTCGCCGCAGCAAACCAGACTGCACATCACAACTGCATGAAAAACTTAAAAAAAAAACGCGCGAGGCGGAGCCGTGCCAAGGGATTATTCCCTTTTTTTTCCACGGCAAGGGATTTGCTGCGAGTGCAATGCAAGGCGGAGGATGCAAGGAGTTCCGTGTTTATTACTATTATTTTTATTTTTATTTTATTTTTTTTCACCTCCCCGAACTCACATTTCCTTCCATTCTTGTGCTGTTGCTGTCGTTGGGAGAGGGGGCGGGGTGACGAGTAAATAAAACGTGTTTCCCGTGCCGACTGGCGTACCGCCGTCTTCTGCTGCGTCTTGCTGAGTGGAGTGTGGGGTGGCGCGGCAAAGACGCACGGAGAGAAGTCGAGGCCTCCCGCTTCTGTCGGTGCGGGGGGAGTACTGGAGGGGCGAAGGGAAGGGAAGGGAAAGGGGGAGGCTGTGGGCGCGTGAAAGGGAAAATCGAGCCGCGGCAGCAGCAGCAACAACAACGAAGAAAATAACTAGAATAAAAGCACGCTGAAAACAAACAACAAACTCCAATGCGTTTTCGCTTTGGAGTCTTGTGGAGTGGTGGTGGTGGTGGTGGTGGTTGGACACTTTCTTGCACTGCGCCTCTTTGGTTTTTTTTTTTGGTTTTTTTCGGAGGAGTGTATATATACACACACACACACACATATATATATATATATACATACATACATACGTACGTAAGCACGCGTGTGCATACTCCCACTGTTTCAAGAGCGAGGAGGAGAAGAAGAAGGAGGAATAGTAATAATAATTTTTTTTTAAAAAAGACAAGCAAAAGAAGGTGGGCCTGTAGTTTGGCAAATGTCAGTTTCTGTCACTGTCACGCCACGCCAGTTTATGGAGGATGTTCTCTTCGGCGCCAATAATGAGGTGGTTGCCATCAAGGGCAGGGGCGGGTCTCCGCTGGCGGGTGTGATGAAGGGAATGGTTCTCAGCTCCATCAATGGTGCCCCCGTGGGACGAGCGGATGACGAGCAGAAGAAGCGGCGCAACATGGGGGGCGAACTGTTGCTGCTCTTCTTACCTGGAAACACCGAGGGAGGTGATGAGTTCGACCTCGATTCCGGCGAGGACGAAGATAGCAACTTCGGTCAGCGGAAACTGGCCTTTGGTATAAACAACCACGACGGCGCGTCAAATCTTCCAAAGAGCACCGACGTGCTTCTAGACGCCGCGGAAAAAGCTGGACCTGGTAGGTGCATTATCATTATGAGCGAGGGAGTGAACCCTGGGTATGTCATTGGCGTCAGCGCTGAGCGTGCGTCGTGTACTGTGATGTATATTAATGCGGTTGCCCGCCTAAAGACACGGCAGTCTCTTTCCCAGACAGCAGAAATTTTTAGTAAATCTCTCCAAAAGGGTCTCTGGATTTACATTGAGCAGGCAACGAAGTCTATCTCTCTCCTGCGCAAACTGGCGGAGTGTATTACGGAGGCCCAAGCAGAAGGTGCCATTCACCCTAAGGCACGTGTTTTTCTCATGTGCGAGCCTCACCCACACTTTCCAGAGGCCCTGCTTAAGGGGAGCGTGACGCTACGCGGCAAGCTACACCATGACGACGGTGAGGTGCAGCTTGATAATAATTTGCTTGAGAGTCGCATAGGACACTCAGTTGTGCGGGACGCCGCTTCGTTCCCTGTAGATGCACTGCCAGAGGTCACGGGAGGACGACGGCGTGTTAAAATTTCTCACGAGGTGAGCATTGTGCCTTTGGAAAAAAATACATTTATGGAGCTAAGTCAGGGTGCCAATCCTGCGATGGAGCGGGAAACCGCCATTGGTGAAGGCGTGACTCGTTTTGCCAAGTATATGTTTGGCGCCAATGAGAAGTTTATCTCCCTTTGCAAAGTCAAAGACGGCCGCTATGCCGTAGGTACAACAGGAGGCTACGTTTTGATTTTGGATGCCGATGGGCTTCCTCTCATTCAGTTTCGACCGCACAGGGCTTGTGTATGGGATGTTGCCTTTGCATCTCCTTACGATTTTGCGACAGCGTGCGAGGATTGGACCAGCTCTATTTTTAATTACTCCTTGGCATGCCAAGAGCTCGCGGCCACCTCGGTGCTCTCACTACACGGTGATGTATTCGCGGTAACGTATGCCAACCCGGAGGACCCTCAGAGCGCCGTTTTATCTGGAGGACTGCCTTCGAGCGTCTACGTCTTACACTCGGATCGTCGCACCAGTTCCCTGATCCCAGTAGGGGTCTCTACGCAGGCCATGCGCTCCACCCAACGGGGATATGCGCTTGTTGGGGGTGGTAATGGGGCTTGTTGCTTGATTGATCCCGTCAGCTGCACGGTGCTTGAGACAACAACGCGTCACCAGCGGAAGGTGCCCGCTGTGGCCTGTTGTGGCCCCATCGCCGTGACAGGCGGGTTTGACAAGATGATTCGAGTCTGGGATGTGCGAAGTAGTCTTCGCATGGTAAACGAGAGGGCTCTGATGGAGGTTATTACCGCCGTCTCGGTATCTGATAAGCATGTGGCGGCGTGCAGTGGGTCCGATCTTATTGTGTGGGATTTGCGAAGAATTGGAACCCCTTTGGCCACCAAACAGAGAGCATGGAACACACTTACGCGTGGGCTTATCATAGACGGGGAGGTTATCATTACTGCCTCTGCTGACGGTGTGGCACGGTTTTGGTCGCTTGGATCGATGGGCAACTTGTGAGCTCTCCAGGCGGAGCCGGGGACACGGGGGTGGGGCGGGCGCGGTTGCGAACTCTCCTTGCTGCAGCGCGAAGCCACGCTCCCCCCTCTTGCGGTCAAGTCCCCCCACTCCCCCCTTTCCCAGTCCCCCGACGCGTTTACCGAGCTT